TTAAAGTGCTGTCTTGTGCACACTTATTTGAAGCACGTATAACCAATGCATTGCTAATTATTTATCTTCAATACTTCTAAGGCGTGTGGGATACATTTTCCTGATGGACAACCTACAACAGAAAATCCATATCCTGTTTTGTCCATGGGTTATGATTGTTGTGTAAGTAGATCTCTTGCATAGCCATATTGCCACATCGCATTTTGTTAATTTAATGCTTCATTGTCATGTTTAACTAATACACAGCTCTCTTTTTCCCCCTTTAGGTTGCATCAGCTAGACCTCCTCCCAAAAGAAGATGTCTTCAGCCATTGCACATGAACTCAAGTACTGAACCTGGACCTGAAACTGAACCTGAAGCTATGGAAACAGATGTTACAGAGATGCCTCTGCAGACGTGTGATGTTGGAATTCAGTGGCCAGATCACATCGACCATAATTACAGTTTCAGCTGCAGTAACAAGCCGGCGATGAAGGACTGTGGCACTCAAACAGATCTTACACCGTCAGTGTCAGCACAACATTTAAATGAGAAAGACTTTGTGTTTTTTACTGGTTTATGCGCTGACAGTTTCTGGCAACTTCTGCACGTCGTTTTGACTTTTTGCTCACAACCACTTCTTAATACCAGAACAAGTTTTGCTTGTTTTAATGAGATTGCGTCTGGGTTTATTGTTTACTGACTTGGGGAAACGGTTTGGGGTGAGTAGAACCTTGGCATCTAAAGTATTTGCATTTTGGAGACCAATCCTTGCCAGGTTTATGAGGGAAAAGGTAATTGTTTGGCTGCCCAGGCATTCACTGAACAGAATCAGGCCCAAGACATTTCACAAACATTATCCTAAAGCCACATGCATTACTGACTGTACAGAGGTCTTTGTACAAACACAAAGAACTTAAGAAAAAGATCACAAACTTATAGCAATTACCAACATCATAACACATACAAACTCCTATACTGTATACCCCCCAATGGCTATGTCATGTTTGTATCCAAACTTTTTGGTGGAAGGGCCAGTGATAAATACATCACAAAGAACTGTGGTTTTCTTCATCACCTCATCCCTGGAGATGAGATCTTAGCAGATCACGGATTCACCATCCAGGATCTATTGCCTCCAGGAGTGCGTCTCGCTCTTCCTGCATTCACACGTGGACGTAAGAAGCTGTCTGAACGTGAGGTGACATCCGGCCGTCGCTTAGCAAATGTCAGAATTCACGTTGAGAGAGCAATACGAAGACTGAAAGGTTTTAACATTGTGTGTCATGTTTTCTCTGGTAGGTTGCAAAGTGTCGATGAGATTGTAACTATTTGTGCAGGGTTATGTAATTTGCAACCTCAGTTAAATCCATGACAGCACTGAATGAAAGAAAAAGAAACAACTGAAATGAATTACTTATTAAAGAAGGTCACAGCATACCAAATATTACTTGTATTTCATCAGAAAAACAGATGTTGAACTCTTGTTGTGTATCAAGTTAATATGACAATGCAGTGTTGATAATTAAAATATAACATTTTTAACTGAACACATATTGAACTGTTGATTTGTGTATTATCGGTATGTTGTCATGCACATACATTTTTGTAGTTTTTTATGTGCATATTAAAGTGTAAATATCTACTTGAGCCCACAAATTTTCATGACCCCTTGTGCTATTCGTGTTGCAGCTGCTGGTAGGAGATGCTGGAAGTACACCACCTTAAGGTAGCTAATGTTTTTCACGGTCCACTCTTCATTGTAAGGTACATCTACAACCACATGTTCTTTTGGGGTCCACACCATGAACTTACAATTCCTCCTTTTTGCATAGTGCATCGCACATATGCAAAGTCACACAGTCAGAGGATACAGACACACATCTTACACTACTGCCCCCTACTGACCACTACTGACTACTATATTTCATTTTAGTGTTTATACAGATAAACGGGCACAGTGATCTATATCAGACAGTAAGACATTCAAGTGAACACTAAGCCCTCCCTTCAGAATACAGTAGGGGTCACTGTAAAAGTCATTGAAATGACCTTTGACCTTTGGGCCAGACCCTAAAATGGTTCAGTGTGGGATTAGAGCAAAGCTGAGGCCTGAACACAGTGGAAACAGTGTCTGTGAGTTTATTCTTCTTAACTGAATGTGTTTGAGACATCCTTAAGCAGAGCCTTTCAGCTGTTCAATTTGTGGAAACATTTTTTTAAAAAGTGTAAATGAAATGTAATTATTTAAATTTAAATGTTAAATAATTTCTTTCCATTCTCCTATTCTGCTGCTCATTATTCTGCTTCATATGAATTATTCCTAAATCCTTTGGGGAGACACTTGAAATGAGCTGGAGAGACACTGGCAGCTCCAGAGACTCAGGCTGGACACTCACACTGATAAAAAATAATAATAAATAAGTAAATAAATAAATTTAAAGGTGCGCTGTGTAACATTTCTAGTGAAGGGTCCACCTCCTCCTTATCTCCATGGAAATGTTATTGTTTTCTCTAGAATATTCTGCAGTATAGATTAAACCTACTTAGCAAGAGAGAGACAACAGGTCAGTACGCTACATTACAGTTCAGATCTGTGGAGAGGCGCCCTACTCACAGAAAGAATTACTGTGTTTTGGAGCAAGAAAAACACCTGTAAAGAATAAATGCTAGATGGATATGTTTACTGGGAACATTTGAGGCAAAACAAATAACATCTCCCACACAGAAATGGAGTGCACCTGAACAGCTGCAGGGTCTGTCATCACAATCAGACCAACACTGCTTCCATTTTCAAATTGTCCATGTTTTTTGGAAGACCAGGGAAGTGTTGTTGTTGTTTTTTTTTTTTTTTTTTTTTTTTTTTCTTCACTGTTGTGTTTTAAAATTAAATACAGGTTTTAATGTAGTTATTTTCTAGTTTAGTCTAGATTTGATCTTTACATTATTCATATTATGTTGAACCATATTAATTGACAGTATATTAATCAACTATTCTCATGATTATGCTGTGACTTTATTTTGATTTTGTAAATAATTAGAGTTGTTCATTTTTCCCAGCAAGCACATTGTCATCTTCTTCTGAACAGTGTTTTTCAGTTTAAATGTGTAAATGTGAGCTGTTTGTCAGTTGTTTATCAGTCTCTGTACAGCTGAATGGTTTTGTGGTGTTCTCTGAGCGGCTGCAGGTTTTTGTACGACCACTCCATGAGTTTGTATCACTGTGGTACACGTTCGGTGGAGGAACCAGACTGGAGCTCAACTGTAAGTCATCTCTTTATGTTCACTTTAAATGACACTTTGGTTTAGTTTGTGATTCATCTGTTTCTATTTCTGAAGCCTGACATCATTTGATTGTTTTCTGTTTTATTTTAAATACTGTTTGGAGTTATGGGTGAGCAGTGTCTTCTTATCATCCCCACACTCACCCACCTCAATTTACAGAGAAATATTTTTTCCCACTGTAACTTATGAAAATTTGTGGTTTTAGGGGGAAAAGTTATTATTTATTTTATTTTTCTGTTCAAATTTTTAGTTTTTAAATTGTCGTAACACAGAAACAAATTTTTTTTTAAATGTATTATTATTTTTTAAATTTAATTATTAATGTCGTATGTGTATATATATATATATATATATATATATATATATATATATATATATATATATATATATATATATATATATATATATATATATATGTGGTTATGGACCTTTTTGTTTTCTGTGTATATTTCAGGAGATTTTTAAAAAGTGTATCTTTAACTCTGAAACTGTTCTGTTGTTCTGCTTCAGTCGAGTCTCTCAGTTCTGTTTTCACTCATTTCAGCCTAAAAGTTACATTTGTACTGAGACAAAAAAAAAAAAAAAAACTACTTCATTTCTGATTGTTCTAGATAACATTACACATATTTAATTCTATGTTGACTTTCCTATATATTTTGGAAGTAATGAAGTCCAAGATTACTGGTGTGAGGTCCACCACCTGAAAATGTTTTTGCTTTACCTGGAATGTTCCACAGAACGATTTCAACACTTTCATCTTTCATTTATATAATTACAGGCATTTGTACTGACAATTAAATACTGGTTTTGATGGAGTCACCTTTTGTTATTTTCTGGATAAATAAAAACTTGTGTGTGTGTTTGTGTGTGTCCACAGTGGGGCGAGTGGAGCCCAGCCTCTGGGTGCTGCCCCCCTCCAGAGAGGAGCTGGCCCAGGGGAAGGCCACCCTCGTGTGCCTGGCCAACAAGGGCTTCCCGTCAGACTGGAGCGTGTCCTGGAAGGTGTCCGGTGGCGGTGCGGGCGGGGAGCAGAGCCGGAGCCCCGCGGTGCCGCAAAAGGACGGCCACTACAGCTGGAGCAGCAGCCTGACGCTCCCCGCACAGCAGTGGAGGGAGGGGGGCGTGGCTGTGAGCTGTGAGGCCAGCCAGGGCTCCCAGAGTCCAGTGTCCCACACACTGAGCACACTGCAGTGTTCCCACCACTGACACAGTCACTGGGATCAGCCTGCAGAGCGCCCTCTGCTGTCAGCTCACGCCTCTACAGCTACAGCTCCACTTCACTTTAATAAAGAGAGAAAACAAAAAGTCCACATGTTTTGTCTTTTACTTAAAAAAAAAAAAAATCTCCATTATTGTTACACTTAGATGATGAAAACAAACAGATAAAGACATAATTGATAAATATTGACTTTTGGCCTTTCATTTCTTCAGTTTGTGCATTTTTTAAATAATAACAGCTGTCCCAGTGGACCCTGCAGCTGTTCATGCAAAGTGTCAAACATTTACATGAGAGGAGCCTCTGGAGAGCTGAGTTCAGGAACAGACCAGAGTCATAAGAAAAGTGTGGAACTACTGAGGCCTGAAGCAGAGAGTGTGAGGTCAGAAGTTCACCTGTGAGAGAGGCACACAGCACAACCACTACCACACGATAATCATGAGAAACTTGTTCATCTGTGCATGTGTGTCTTTGCTCCTTTAAATATAAGTCTTTTACAATAAAGACACATTAGAAGCCTTGTAGTGAAGTTTGCTTTATTTAAGATGCTCTCAAGGTGATTAGACATCATTATGTTTATCCAAAAATAAAAATACATTTCACAGATCAGCAGGAATCATCAGGCACATGTGGTAGATTTTTTTTCCCTCAGTCAGACCAATAGACTGCATATAGAGGTCTAGAGATGGATCTGGCTGCAGACCTCCACCCAGAGGACCCTCATGTGACTCTCCTACACCCGCAGATCCCTAAAACACAGCAGCCAAAAGGCCACTAAAGTGCACTGTTTCCTGTGACAGATTTGAGCCTGATTTACTTTTTCATGCAGTCTGTGCTCTTAGTCAGACACAAAGTCTCCAGCTGTTTCCCTACACACACAGAGTAGAGCAGAGACACACGGAGCTTGTTCACTTCAATCTTAAAATGAAATCTATTAGTGATTCAATGTCTTTGAAGTGCTTCACTCTAAACTATTTGAAATGAGTTTTAGAAAGTGTAATGAAATTGTTTATCAAGTAAACTAATGAAAAATGAGGAGGGACATGAGGGAGGTGCATCCTGGTGGAGGTCTGCAGCCAAACTCTGTGAAAGTCTGTTCTCAGTTCAGCTGCGTTTATGGGCTGTACAGAAGTCTAAGTCTCTGGAGCTGTGGTCACTGTGGTCCCACGAGGAAAGGGCAGCCTTATTGTGTCTGGACTCACACAAATCATTTGGTTTCTTGTGGTGGTGACTCTGCAAAGATAAATGAATGAATGAATAAATAAATAAATAAAGTGTGATCTCATCACATGTGTCTGCAGCGCTCTCTGGTGGACAAGAACTGCATGTGTCTCAACATGAGTTTTCTTTATGCATACGTACACTATTGGAAGGTTTGTGCTATTGGTTTGTAGTTTAAAAAAAAAAAGAAAAAAGTATGAAATAATTCCAAACATGTTTTACATTTTAGATTCTTCAGACTAGCCTTTGCCGTTTACTTTACTTTACTTTATTCAGTGCTTTAAACTCTTGGCAATGAACCCTGATGTGGCATAACTGTAAAATAAAAACCATTTCAGGTTTGCAGCGCTGCCAGTCAAGCAAAGGGTGGATAGTCTAAGTGACTGAATCTAAAATTTAAAACATATTTAGAGTTTCTTTGCTACATAATCCCATATATCTGTTTTTCACCAAAAAAAAACCTGAGAGTTATTCTGCCTGGTTGTGTTAAAATAAAACTCAGATTAAAGTCTAACTTGAGTAACAGAGCTTCAGACAGAGCAGTGCCTCCACTTAGCTTCACCCACAGGGAAGGTTGATGACACCAGCTGCAAAGTATCAATAGACACTAAACCAGGGGTGTCAAACATGTGGCCCGGGGACCGGATCCGGCCCTCCAAGGTTTTCTACCTTGATTTTCTACAAAAATATTTTAATTATATTTTCCATTAAAATATTGGTAATTTTCTGTGGTGTTTATCACAGCAGCGTCTCCAGCGTCTCTGTGCGTAGCTCCTCCCACCAGAGCAGCACAAATGAAGACTTGTCTCTTTCCAAACGCTCTTAAAGGACGATCGTTTTGACTGTTGACCGTGACACCCTCATCAGAAAAATGTCCAACATGAGAAAAGTGGAGCCGAGTGCAGGATTTTCCACGAAAAATTTACTTATTCCTATTTACATACAAGTTCATGTTAAAACATTGTGTTGAAATTGTATTTTTCTTAAAGTTTCAGGTTGTTTATAATAGTATAATATTTTGTAAAAGAAAGAGTTCATCAATTAAAAAAGATTTCTGTAATAGATTTGTGTTTGTCTACACAAATATTTGAACTTATTGTTATTTTGGGGTTTATATGACATGAGTTTTCTGATCCGGCCCCTTTGGGATCAAAGTAGATTGGATACGACCCCTGGACCAAAATGAGTTTGACACCCTGATCTAGACGCGGACACACACTACCTCCACATACCATCCCCGTTCCCTGACCTGAGTTTGGGATTCATGAATAAACGAGGAATGAGCTTTGAGTTTAATGTGTCAAATGGACTGAAGTAAAAGTATCTTGGGTGTATCAGTGCGGACATGCCAGATCGTCATAGTCCATGTTGGATGTTGGATGCTCAGGCGAACAGGTGTAAGTTTGGTTCTTGTACTGATGATGTAAGGATGACATGGTTTAAATCGAACAGCCCCCCTCTGGAGTGGGCGAGGATGTGGGTGGCCTATGATGAGGCTTTGCGGGTGCTTTTGAGGAGGCGTGATGGAAAACTGCGACTGAGATGTTTGTCACTGCACTGAACACTTTAGAAGCTCTACTAAGAACAAGAAAACTCCACAGACACAGAACATGCTGCATAGAAACAGGTAGAACAAACTCCACAGACACAGACAGAACAAACTTCACAGACACAGACAGAACAAACTTCACAGACACAGACAGAACAAACTCCACAGACACAGACAGAACAAACTTCACAGACACAGACAGAACAAACTCCACAGACACAGACAGAACAAACTCCACAGACACAGACAGAACAAACTCCACAGACACAGACAGAACAAACTCCACAGACACAGACAGAACAAACTCCACAGACAGGGAGAAAAAAACACTCTACAAACACAGAGAGAACATACACACTCCACAGACACAGACAGAACAAACTTCACAGTCTCAGAAAGAACAAAGAAATTTCACAAGCACAGACAGAACATGCATCTCTCCTGGACAGTTACTGCGTGTGACTTACATGACGGCCTGCAGAGTGCACTTGGGTGAGGTCAGAACCACAGACTGGATGAGGCGTGGAGGGATGCGCCTTGGATAAAGTCTGAAACAGCATTCAATCGGCGGAGAAACACCTGACCAAAGCACAAACTCAGACTGTGAACAGTGAATGTAAAGGTGCAGTATGTCCCTTAATTCTTTATCTGGAATGTCTCGCACTATGGCATTAAACTTGTCTATCATGTAATATGTGTCAGAGGGACGGTCCTCATAGACCAGGGGTTTTCAAACTGGGTGAACCTCCCCCTAGAGTAGTTAAAGATGGTGCCCATGGCCTATGGAAGGGGACGTGGTTCCACACAGCATCATATAGTTCTGGTTAAATCTTGGTTTAAACCTGGTTTTGTCCTGGTTTAGACCTAATTTTTATCCTGATATTAATCCTGGTTTAGTTCTGGTTTAGTCCTGGTTTAGTCCTGGTTTTAGTTTTGGTTTAGTCCTGGTTTTAGTCCTGGTTTAGTCCTGGTTTTAGTTTTAGTTTAGTCCTGGTTTTAGTCCTGGTTTAGTCCTGGTTTTAGTCCTGGTTTAGTCCTGGTTTTAGTCCTGGTTTTAATCCTGGTTTAGTCCTGGTTTTAGTTCTGGTTTAGTCCTGGTTTAGTCCTGGTTTTAGTCCTAGTTTAGTCCTGGTTTTAGTTTTGGTTTAGTCCTGATTTTAGTCCTGGTTTAGTCCTGGTTTTAGTCCCAGTTTAGTCCTGGATTTAGTCCTGATTTTAATCCTGGATTAGTCCTGGTTTTAGTCCTGGTTTAGTCCTGGTTTTAGTCCTGGTTTTAATCCTGGTTTAGTCCTGGTTTTAGTTCTGGTTTAGTCCTGGTTTAGTCCTGGTTTTAGTCCTAGTTTAGTCCTGGTTTTAGTTTTGGTTTAGTCCTGATTTTAGTCCTGGTTTAGTCCTGGTTTTAGTCCCAGTTTAGTCCTGGATTTAGTCCTGATTTTAATCCTGGATTAGTTCTGGTTTTAGTTCTGGTTTAGTCCTGGTTTTAGTTCTGGTTTAGAGGAGCGGCCCATGCTGTACACGGGAGGAGGCGTATGCAAGGCAAAAAAGGTGATGCTCCAAACTAAGAGTAGGTTGTCGTGGTGACATAATTTTACAGCTAATACCTGCACACACAATTACTGATACCAAAACTGCTGCACATGTGTACAGATGTGGTCCACTACCTTTTCTTCATGTGTCACACCTCCCCAGTGGCTCTTTGGTGCCCCCCAGGGGAGGCGGGCCTCACCTATTGAAAACCGCTGGAATAGACACTTCGCTGTAATGTGATCCCTGTGAGGATTTTGCCACGCACCTCTTTATGTGTCTGTCGGTGCTAGTGCTGGTGCTGTTTCGGTGTTGTGTCAGTGCTGTGTCAGTGCTGTTGTCAGTGCTGTTGCTGGTGCTGTGTCAGTGTTGTTGTCGGTGTTGTGTTAGTGTGTTGTCAGTGCTGTTGTCAGTGCTGTTGTCGGTGCTGTGTCAGTGCTGTGTCAGTGCTGTTGTCGGTGCTGTGCCAGTGTTGTGTCAGTGCTGTTGCTGTGTCAGTGCTGTGTCAGTGCTGTTGTCAGTGCTGTTGCTGGTGCTGTGTCAGTTCTGTTGTCAGTGCTGTTGTCAGTTCTGTTGTCAGTGCTGTTGTCAGTGCTGTTGTGTTGTTGCTGTGCTGTGTCAGTGTTGTGTCAGTGCTGTTGTCAGTGCTGTTGCTGGTGCTGTTGTCAGTGCTGTTGTCAGTGCTGTTGTCATGTCAGTGCTGTTGCTGTTGCTGGTGCTGTTGTCAGTGCTGTTGTCAGTGCTGTTGACTGGTGCTGTTGTCAGTGCTGTGTCAGTGCTGTTGTCAGTGCTGTTGCTGGTGCTGTGTCAGTGCTGCAGTACAGGAGGTTGTATCTCGGTCAGCTGGTCTGGTCAGATCGTGTTGCTGTTGGCTGTGGGCTGTATGATGTTTACATGTTACAGACACATGCACAGTGCAGCTTTTTCTCACCATGGTTGAGTTCTAGGTCCTGGAGCTCCGCCTGAGGGAGGCTCTGCACAACTGTAAAGATCACAACAGGACTCAGTCTTAATTCAGAGTAACATTACTTTTACTTGTGTACAATTTCTGATTTTCATTTTCATTTCCACATTAAAGTTACAGTACTGTCTAAATATATTTATGGAAAATTACGTTCAGGGAGTTTTTGTCTTAACTCTGGCTCATCTCTGTATTTCATAAACACACAAAAATCTTTCAAATGTTCAAACTCAGTCAGGCATCAAAAGTGTGGACACACATTCTTTTACAAAGTATTTTTTTCTTTAGGTTTACCACTTTCAAAATTTTAGACACAGGAAAGACTTCAAATATATGACTGTGAGGGAGCTATAGACCACACCCTCACTCATCAGGTGTACACCTTTATGTTTTCACCTATTTTCATTTGATGCCATGTTAATTTTCCCTGTTTCATTCCTTTTTTTTCCCCTTTCCTTTGAGGTGATTGGTGGAGGCACTGATTTGGAGGCGCGCCCTTATCAGTGCAGGCCAGGTGCATCCCATCGCCCTGATTTGGACTCTGCCAAGTGCTTCTGGGGGAGGGGAGGTTTAACTGTTAAAATGGTTTTAACTATTTAACTAATACATGAAATAATAGCGAAAAACTGATAATCTTGATGTTTCAAAGTGCAATATGAATTGATGAAATGTAAATAGTTGAAAATCGTATTATTCTATATGTAGTAGTTTTTAGAAGTTTAAACTTACCTGTTTGGGGCTTAGTGGTTTAGGCCTAACTATATAAGGGGAATTTTTTTGTCACGGGTGTTGCCTGTTGTCTGTCATGGGGACATGCGGTCAGATCTGCTCATGCCAATTAAAGGAAAAAAGGTGAAGAACTTGATTTTTGTTTTGTCGTGTTTGTTGACCCTCGGGTGCTGCGGCTTTCCTGGGCCAGTAAGAGGCCAGAGTTACGTCCGTAATCTTACAATGACGCAAGATGGAATTATTGGGCAAAGAAATAAAGTCAAATAAGTCTGCAATTATTTTTATTTTTTTTTGATATATGTGGCAAGACCGGCTTTGAGGGTCTAGGCTGCGGGTGTTCTTACCTGGCGTTCCGTGGCGCTGCGCTGGTGGACTATTTAAGCGCTCCCTTCACAGTCGTTCCCCCTTTTGGCTCACACGCTCTTCCGGGCCTCTCCTTGTGGCCGCTCTGTCCTCCAGCTCAGGTAACTTCCACTTCGTAAATTCCATGCCCGTTACATCCAAATTTCCAATCACGTTTCCTTTTAGTGCCGCTGCTTGGCCGGTGCTCTGCCCCGCATCAGTCCCTCGCTCCTCCGAATCACGGGGCACCTAGGGCGCGCTTTCATCTCCACTGATAAGGTAATGCACGCCCGATACTCCTCCACTCATTCATCCGTGCCCATACTCTTACCGGTGTCTCTCTTTAGCTCCACGGGTGAGCCGAGTGAGTCCCTCCCCATTGCGCTTGGCTGTGCGCCGCCGTGTCCCTTAAACCGCGGCTGCAGGTAAACGAAACCCTGTTATCACGTGCTGCCTGTGCCAAACAACTCTCTAAATTGTATGTTTATAGCGTGTGCCGGTCCACGTTGTTTGGACCACGTCTGGACGCAGTTATTCTGTGTAGAGTTGCCTTTGATTCAGCCTGGGGATTGCGCACTGTCACTTTCAACCACGGTATGTGTTTAGCCCAGATCCTTGCACTGCAGGCTCAGATTTTAATCCCAAAATTAAATTTTCTAGGTGTCAGCGGGGGCCTGCAGCGGCGTGAGCACACCGCCTCTACTGTTTTGCTTTACGTTTGCTTTGTGTTTTGCTCGTTCTGTTTTGCTATTTTGTTTTCTTTTACGTTTGTTTTGCTTGTTTTGTTTTGCTGTTTTGTTTTGCTTTAGTTTTGCTTCATTGTTTTGGGGTTTTGTTTTGTATTTTCAATATCTTGTACCTGTTCTCCCACTGTAGTGTTTTACTGTTTGCCTATTTTTATGGATGTAGCTACTTTTAAATAACCTAAAACTGTCTTTTAAAATGGATGAAAATAAAGATTGTGTAAATGAGGGAACCTGGCTCTCTCCCTCAATGACATGCTTATCTGTGTGCCTTACATTTAGACTTTATTTCCCCAAACTAGATTTGGGGTGGCGTTGTTGCAGCAACTTATTATAAAACTTAACATTTCCCGGAGTGTTGAACCCCTCGGTTGCCATATATATATATATTTATTTCCAATCCTCAAAGACTTCACCCTTTGCTTCATGAAGAGCGCTGCAAACCCTTGGCCTTCTGTCAGTGAGCTTCATGATTAATTCACATGAAATGGTTTTCATTTTACAGGTAAATCAGTGATCAAAACAATGGGTCAAAGTAAAAAAAAAAAAAAAAAAAACTTTGAGTTACTTAGATTTACTTAGATTCTTCTTTGACCAAAACATCTGATAGTCTGGGTAAAGTTTGGGTTGTAAAGGCTCAGTGGTTAGGGTTAATAGTTCTGTTCCAGCTCTGATCAGCGCTGTATTGTTGTGTCCTTGTGCAAAACACTTCACCCTCTTGTCTTGTGTTGTGTTGGTGGTGGTCAGAGGGGCCAGTGGCACACATCTCCAGGCAGCTGCACATTTGTCAACTATTGATACTTTGCATTGACTGCATACTCCCACATGTATGTCTATGGTGGACTGTACAGCAGTTACCACGGTGACACAATGCACACATGATAAATAAGATAATCTGAAATCTCAAGAAACAATACACAATGGATTTTAACACACATTTTCAGGAGCCTGGGATCAACACGAGCGTTCATGGTGCTGTTGAGTTTGATTTTCAATAAAAGGTGAGAGCGACTAACTGAAGAACTGCTGGCTGATGTCAACTAGTTTGTAACTTGAGTAACAGAGCGTCAGACAGTTTATCTGGTCCAGTTTATTATATTATTATTATTTATTATATATTTTTTAAGTACTTTCCTGTATTGCTACTCTGATGTTCTGTCCTGGTTTAGATCTAAGTTCACCCACCTCTTGTCATGTCCGTGTTGTTTTTATCAGTTATTCATTTATTTGAACATATTCACGTTCAAATTGTGAAACAAACTGAATTATGAAAAGCATGAAAAACATGTTGTGAAACAAGATTCAGTTCCTCTCTCCACTTCCCCACAGTCAATACAAGACAGAAACATCCAATCACTCCTCTGCCCCTCTACTCCACTCCTCTGCTCTTCTGACCCACTCCTCTGCTCTTCTGACTTTCTCCTCTGCTCTTCTGACCATTTCCTCTGCTCCTTTGCTCATCTGACCCACTCCTCTGCTCTTCTGACCCCCTCTTCTGCCCTTCTGACCTGCTCTTCTGCCCTTCTGACCCTCTCCTGCTCTTCCTACCCACTCCTCTGCTTCTCTGACCCACTCATCTGCTCCTCTGCTCTTCTGACCCTCTCTTCTTCTCTGCTCCTCTTACCCTCTGACTCTCTCCTCTGACTCTCTCCTCTGACCCTCTGCTCCACAGTTGTACACTTGTTGTCAGTAAGACACAGAGTATTCCATTTGTATGTTATTATTTATTAGCTTATTGTTTTACTCATTCAAATTCATAAGAGCCTCACAGTGCCAAATGTATTTACAGAACAAAAACAAAGATGCAACGACATCAGGACGACTGGCTGTTTGGAGATTTAAGTGCTGTGAGATAAAACTGTTGAAATGAGCCTATTTTTGGATAGAAATAAAGTTCTAAAGTGATCTTTCTGGTCTTTAACATGATAATACACTCTCATTCTGAGTATAAAAAAATTTCGCTCTTGCAAATAAACATAAAATATTAAGTCTTATTGGACTAATTGGTTCAAATGATTATAAAACCGCTCTAGCTTCTGTCCCCACTTTTGCCAGCAGAGGGGGCAGGCACGAGTCCAACAGAAATCTTGAAGTCTTCAGGCACTTGCTTCCAAATACTGTACACTACTACAAGATACATGGATAAAAATACAAATACAAAAGTCTCTTTATGTTTATGGTTTTGCACGTTTTAAATGAAAACATTGAACTGCTGTTTAAAGAAGGGAGTATTTAACTTCTCTGGGGTATAAACTTTAACACGTCGATTATTTAGATCACTGTGTTTCCTTTTACTGTTTGGAAAATATTGTATTCGCCCAAAACTACGTATTGACATGTTTTATAAAATTCAGTTCTGTTTTTGATGCTCTGAGCCTCCCCTCCCTTTTGCTCTCCCTGCTAACTCACTCCCCCTTCAGAGCGCTATCACAACACAACCAGCGTGCACCCCGCTAATGAAACCTCTGCACATTGCCTCAGGTTTGTGAAGCTGTAGTGTTTTGTTTTGCACTGTGTTTTTGTATATTTACGGAGAATTGTGGTGTGGGAGCATGGGAGATGTTGGTTTGTGGGCGGAGCCTTGTACAGAATCTCACAGCTAACTGTAAGAAGGGTTCGAATTGGGAATAGAGAGATCGCTAGATGACTCATACATGCATGGATGACATCTAAAACCTCTTGAGGCATGTTTTTGATGAGGGAACAATGTTATAACATGGGAAAAAGCTCGGCAAAGTCCATTTTGCGGAACAGCCCCTCTTTAAGCTCTGTAGTTGTTTTTGTTTGGGAGAAAGTCTGTCGGTCTCATCTTCATCTCTGTGAACGGGATGGACACCTCTTTGCCTTTCCACGAGGTCCAGATTATTCCCTGTCAAAGAAAACGAAATCAGTTAGGAATGTTGAAAAACTGTTCTTCTTATTTGGTTTATATTTGTTGTGACATTTTAGAATCTCTGGCGCAGTAGCTCATTTGGAACTGGAGCCAGGTTCTGCGGGGGATTTACTGTTAAACTTCAGACTACACATGTGTAAACCTGGTTCTATGGAAAAGTAGAAGTGGTTGTTATAGTAGTAGTAGTAGTAGTAGTAGTAGTAGTAGTAGTAGTAGTAGTAGTAATCCTAATAATAGTAGTCACAGGAGTAGCAACAGTACTAGTACTTGGTGCTTGGAGTTGATGCCATATTTGCAGTAGTAGCAGTAGTATTAGTAGTAAAAATAGTAGTAGTAGTAGTCAAAATAGTAGTATTCACAGTAGTAGTATTTGTATCTGGTGTTTGGAGCTGATGCCATAGTTCCAGTAGTAGTAGTAGTAGTAATAGTAGTAGTAGTAGTAGCAGTAGTAGTACTAATAGTAGTAGTCAAAATAATAGTATTCACAGTAGTAGTAGTAGTATTTGTATCTGGTGTTTGGACCTGATGCCATAGTTGCAGTAGTAGTAGTAGTAGTAGTAGTAGTAGTAGTAGTAGTAGTAGTAGTAGTAGTAGCAGTAGTAGTATTCACAATAGTAGTAGTATTTGTATCTGGTGTTTGGCACTGATGCCATAGTTGTAGTAGTAGTAGTAGTAATAGTAGTAATAGTAAGTAGTAGTAGTAGTAGTAGTAGTAGTAGTAGTAGTAGTAGTAGTAGTAGTAGTAGTAGTAGTAGTAGTAGTAGTAGTAGTAGTAGTAGTAGTAGTAGTAGTAGTAGTAGTCACAGTAGTAGCTTTCACAGTAGTAGTATTTATATCTGGTGTTTGGACCTGATGCCATAGTAGTAGTAGTAGTAGTAGTAGTAGTAGTAGTAGTAGTAATAGTAGCAGCAGTAATTGTATCAGTACCTGTTCATGGAGTATTTGTAGTAGTAGTACTTGGTGCTTGGAATTGATGCCATTGTTGCAGTAGTAGCAGTAGTATTAGTAGTAGTAGTAGTAGTAGTAGTAGTAGCAGTAGTTGTAGTAGTAGTCACAGGAACAGGAACAGTACTAGTATTTGGTGTTTGAAGCTAGTTGCAGTATTAGTAGTATAGTAGTAGTAGCAGTATTTGTACTTGGTGTTTGGAGCTCATGCCATATTTTCAGTAATAGTCGTAGTAGTAGCAGTAATAGTAGTATATATAGTACTAGTTGCCGTAGTTGATGCCATAGTTGCAGTAGCACTAGTAGTTGCCATGGCAGTAGTTGCCATAAAAATAATAGTAGTAGAAGTAGTAGTAGTATTCACAGTGATATTCACAGTCGTACCTGGTGTTTAGAGCTGATGCCGTAGTATTTGTAGTAATTTTTGCAGTATTTGTAGTGGTACCTGGTGTTTGGAGGTAATGTAGTAGTAGCAGTATTTGTAGTATTTATAGTAGTATTTGGTGTTTGGAGCTGGTGCCATAGTAGCAGTAGTAGTATTTGCAGTATTTGTAGTACCTGATGTTGGGGGCTGATGCTCTAGTAGCAGTAGTAGTAGTATTTGTAGTATTTGTAGTAGTACCTGGTGTTTGGAGCTGATGTGCAGTAGCAGTATTAGTAGTATTTGTAGTATCTGTAGTAGTATTTGCAGTATTTGTAGTAGTACCTGGTGTTAGGAGTTGATGCCCTAGAAACAATAGTAGTATTTGTAGTATTGTAGTAGTACCTGGTGTTAGGAGTTGATGCAATAGTAGTATGTGTAGTAGTACCTGGTCTTTGGAGCTGATGCCATAGTAGCAGCAGTAGTAGTTGCAGTACTTGTAGTAGTACCTGGTGTTTGGAGTTGATACCATAGTATTTGTAGTAATATCTGTAGTACTTGTAGTAGTACCTGATGTTTGGAGTTGATACCATAGTATTTGTAGTAATATTTGTAGTACTTGTAGTAGTACCTGGTGTTTGGAGCTGATGCCATAGTAGCACTAGTAGTACTTGCAATATTTATAGTAGTACCTAGTGTTTGGAGCTGATCCTGTAGTATTTGTAGTAGTATGTAAAGTATTTGTAGTAGTACCTGGTTTTGAAGCTGATGCCATAGTAGCAGTAGTAGTATTTGTAGTACTTGCCGTAGTACCTGGTGTTTGGAGTTGAT